TCTCGAAAAAAACCCAGACAAATAAACACCGGAACGAGCCGTTTTTTCACCGTATTCTTTTATCTTGACAGGTAATAACAGGAGCGCGAGCGGATCGAAGAGTATCTCCGTACGAATCGCCGCTGGAATCACGACAGGCGCCCTGGCGGTGCTCTTTGCTCAACCGACCGACGTCGTCAAGGTACGCCTACAGGCTGGAAGTAATGGAGGATCGGTGAGATATAGCTCCACCCTGCAAGCGTACAAGAATATCGCTGCCGAAGAAGGAACGCGGGGCCTTTGGAAAGGTACCATCGTTCAAATTGTATTACGATTAAATCCAACTTACGCGATATAAATATACGATATATTTTCGCGAGTATGCGGATTCGTTGCAAATTTCTATTGATCGCGATTCCCGATATTAGTCAAAAATTCGAGATAAATTTCATTATGATCTCAATATTCAGGTAAAAAAAAAAATTTTTGTATGCAGCATATATGTTTATGGAATATTTGAAACAGCCAATAATGCGCTTTAAGCGATAAAAAATAATTTATATTCTCCGATTGTATTCTCTAATTGTCGTAAAAAAAACATAGCAACATGGATTGATTTAAATTTCAAATTCTCGAGCGACATTGATAGAGAAAAATTAATTAAATATTTCTAATAGCTTATTAATCGATTCTAATTTCGAAATTTTCTCTCTCTCTCTCTCTCTCTTCCATTCGATCTAAAGATCGATTCAAACGTGTGCGAATCACGTTTAAAATTAATCACGAATTCTCCCTTCATTCAGGAACTATGCCCAACATCTCGAGAAACGCGATCGTGAACGTGGCGGAGATCGTTTGCTACGACATCATCAAGGATTTCATCTTGGAATACGGATATCTGCGCGATGGGATTCCCTGCCACATTACGGCCGCGGTGGCGGCAGGGCTGTGCACCACGTTGGCAGCCAGCCCTGTGGACGTGGTGAAGACTCGTTACATGAACAGCGCCCCCGGCGAGTACAAGGGCGTCAAGGATTGCGCTGTTCGTATGATGATGAAGGAAGGGCCGTCCGCGTTTTACAAAGGTTTCGTGCCCAGCTTCACGCGGCTCGTTTCCTGGAACATCGTTCTCTGGATCACTTACGAGCAGTTCAAGGTCTACGCGAAGAAGCTGAACCAGTAAACAATTACACATCCCCCTACGCGTCTCTACGTCGTTCTCGTCGATCGACTGGGCCGCATCTTCGTCGA